AGTCCTTTGGACACCCCAGAGATCAAAGTAAGTGGTGAGAAGGCACCCAGTTATATGGGATCTTTGCTGTTTTAATGGAGATTGATCAGCAATCAAATGTCAGCTAAAATTATCAGGCCACAGTAGAGCTCAGATCTTTGCCATTTGAGGCTGGGGGTGGGATTTGTTTTAAAATAGCTCAACCAAGTAGATTATGAAAATGATTGATCAACTATAAATAATCCAAGATTCAGGGCGTTTTCTCTTCACTCTCTCTTTCTCTCTCTCTCTCTCTCTCACACACACACATACACACACACACACATCAGGCAAGTAAAAACTTTGCCATGCCTCAATAACCTCTCCCCCAAATGCTATCATTGATTACAAGCATCAAGAGTGACTAAAAAATGGCATTGTTCCAAGGGGCAGGTCTTTCACATCACATTCTACCCTATAGTTTTTGAACCTACAAGAAACTCTCTAGAGAACTGATAAAGTTGACCAGAAGGATAAGGCTGGTTTGTGGTATTCAATAATGGTTTGATAATGTTTCTTTCCCTAACAGGCAACATAAACAATGAGTTAAAACTGGAGGCACTTGCTTAATACTCAAGGCAAAAAAAAAAGGATGGGGGAGGAAAAGAGAAAAGAAATGATGAAATTCAATTCCCCTTCCCCAGCTAAACAAAAACTCTAGGTTTTATACTCCTATGACCTAGATATAGTCAAAGACATCATACAGAATGTTCCTAGGGAGAAAGAGACCTCAACTCTCAGCTGTTCAGCCAACTTTTCAGCTTAGAAAATGTCTTTATAAGGGAATATTGAAACAGACACAAACAGAGGTTTATGGGATAGAAACAGTAAGAGACCTTAAACAGACCTAAACTCGACGCTAGGGAGCTGTGACCACATTGCTTCAACTTCCCATTACTTGCTTCTAATAACATACAATCCAGGCTCTTCTCTTAACACCAGTGCTCTGAATTCCCATAAGGAAATATCACTTTTCGGAGAAGAAAAAAAATCAAACCCATTTTACTGTGTAGTAAATAATAGGTGATGGAAAGGGAGGTGCAAGAAAGTAGGGTCAAAAGGGTCACGAGGCTTTTCGACTGTTTTACCAAGGGTAACAAAAGTGTCCATACTGCAAAGATTGAAGATATGGAACTAAAAAGACTACACGGTTGTGCCAAGCTGACGTCTGTAAATACCTACACTACAAAGACAGCATGTGTTCAACTCCAGCTTGCAAGTTGTATTAAATAATGAATGATGTAAATTAGACTGCCTTATTTATTAACAAGTCTAGTATGGCTTATGTAACCACACTCTGAATTTAAATACACGGCTCTTAAATGCATATAAGCCATAATCCAAAGTTCTAAAACCCCCAATGGAGGGGCTGAGAGGAAAATATCGGAGCAATAAAAGTTGATGCCTTTCATTGAATCTTGGAGAATGCCAGGAGTTTTTTTTAAGTATGATTAATTGCAATGGCAAAGCTTATTAAAGTAAGAGGGCCAAAATCAATGTATTAATGGCACAACATTACAGCTGCTTAAACAGGCCAACAATAAATTGCACATAGAGTCTCTGATAGGAGAAGCTTCAAATTCTATTTAGATTGTACTCAAAGGGAAAATATGAGGTTTGTCTCCAAATATGACCCCCAAATCAGAGAATACCACAGAAGAAATTCAAAAAGAGTTCCCTATTGGTCTTCACAAAGCATGTGCAACATAAAAATGCATGCCCTTCCACAACAACATGGATATATATAACATGACTGAACTGTAAGACAGCAAATTTTAGGTTATGTATTTTTAAACCACAGCTAAAAAAATGCACGACTTCTTTTGACGGTGCCTTTTACCACTTGGGTGAAACAGAACTTGTCCTTTGCAATGCACTTTGGCACTTAATACAATTGGGATTTAAACGGCCAGTTACATAATTCCAACAACAGGCTTCACTCTTGAATTCCATTGCATGTGACATTGGTACTGTGTTTAAATTCATTTTAACCCTGCTGTGGAATAACCATTTCCAAATAACAGGAGCTGCCACTTAGCAGTGTGACGTTGAGCAGGTGTGATGCACACCTATAGATAGATACTGATCTAGTTATGTCACATTAGTGGGCAAAAAACATTAAATAGGTACTGTGATGGGAAGATTTTTAATAAAATAGGTTCAATGACTCTGAAGACAAAAGGTCAGATTAGCGTAAAGTATGCATGCACAAACAAAAAAAATCCTCTCTCTTAGTTAATCTGTACATATTTTTTAATGTTTTGCTATTTGTGTTCCTAGAACCCTAAAGGCATCATGGTTTAATATGTAAAAAAAAGACAGGGAGGAGGAAAAGAGAAAAGAAATGCTAAAAGATACACCATTTTTGCATGATATGATAAACTATTGTTATAGCAAGTTGTGTGGTGTTAATCACAGTTTATTCACTATATTATTTCTATTTAAAAAAAACAGAGGCACATAACTTCAGCTACATACCATTAAACCAGAACTTTACAACAGGTTATTTTAGGAATACCACCGGGTCTAATAACAAAGTTTTAAAATATGTGTATCTTGGTTCCAACTGTAGCTGGTATCCACTGGCCAAGAATTTAAAAGCTGTTCAAGCAAGTATTAATATGTAAGAAAAAGAACACAAATGGTGTCATATAGGGATGAGAGTGAAACAAGTGCATCCGCTGATGTCATTTTGAGGTCAAAAAAGCAAAATTCAAAATAATTACATGGACTACTTTCCAAATAAGTATTGTGATACTAGTTACAGATAAAGGCACTGGGGCACAAAGTGCCTGGGCTCAAGCAAAGCTGAGGAGAGTCGAGAAACATTTTGTCTCAGGGCTCACATCTACCCAGCCTGACTAATATTACTAACCTAATTCCCTGTTCTCAACACTTAGCCCTATATACCTCTCGACTCCCACAATCCTAAGAGGTTTTCAAATCAAAAGGGAAAAAAATTAGAGCAGAAATTAGAAGTGCCACGATTGAATGAATAACTATGACAAATGCCTTAGTAAATATTTTAAAAATCTGTTTCAAAAAAAGCTGAAAATAGGAACCTGCCATTAGATATAAAAGAAGCAACAACAATTGTGAGGACAGATATAAGAAAGCTCAGCTGAAATCAACTGATTTCATATACATCAGGCAGCTAAGATCAGGAAGGTCTGAAATAACCATTTTTTAGATTTAAAGATAGTTTTATTTTCTTTTTCTTAGATCATGGACTTAAAATTATCTAAGAGAAAAACAAAGTGAAAATGATCAGCCCTGTCTTATTTCTTTCTTCATTATACGCATCTATCATCTAAAACAGAATTTTAAAACCACCACCACACATACATAACAATATCTAACTGTATAAGGCATGCCCCAAGATCTCAAAACAGTCAGAAGTGCTCTGAATTCCATATGGCCTCCTCCGTCTAACTACTGACACCCCATCTCATGAAACATATTCTGACAAAAGGACACAGATTTTGGACCAGTCTGGTAAGCCTCAACCAGCACAGCCCAAGGCCACCACAATTGGGGCCTTATCCACCCTTGCTCTTCTGTCCTGGCTCCTGCTCTCCTTGCCAGAAAGATTGATATCCTAGCACCCTGGACTCAGCCCGACAGTTGGCTGCTCCCGACACATCTCAGCTCTGCTAGGCCTGCACGTTCCCCTCTGCTCTGCTGTCATTTCCTTCTGCCTGAGCCTTACACCATAAGCATCAGCAGCAGAACAGGCAACAGAGACTAGGAAGGTCTCTTACTTACATTAAAACACAGGTTATCTTGGTCAACTACGTTGGCAGAAACATGGTTGTATGTTTTCTGTGGAAGGAAGAATGCATGCGCACTTGACAACCGGAAGGCCACAGCCCAAGCCCCACTGTAGAGCTACCTATCTCAGTGTCAAACACAGTAAGGAAAACTGGGAGAAACTTTGCCTTACAATCTTCCATGTGTATGAATAAAATCTCATGTTAATAAGATGTATGGAATGACAGAATCACTAAGGAAAAAATAATAATAATAATCCAGTAGAGGTGACACAGGAATGCTAGAGAAAGGACTGGCAAGTTCTTGCTTGGTAATGTATTTTTCACAAGGCATCAGAAAAGGAGAATAGAAATATACAGTTCTGTTTCTTCATCAAGCCACGACAAGCTCAAACATTTCCAGGGACACAGGGGTCCAATGCTAAAGCCAGCATTCATCAGAGTTCTACCCACTGCTTTATCTCCAACCTAGTCCAGAGAAATTATTCAATGGACAATTAAGAGTTATAATCCAAGTGGTCTCAAAATCATATCTCTGGGAAGTCAAGTCCAAATTAAATCAGCCCAGGCTTTTAGGCTTCCAACAATCACATTTTTTTCTTTTGAGTGAGTGCACTTCAACACTCAGAACTTCTCCTCTTACAGATCATTTTCAAGGCCATCTCTGGATGCCATCTCCTAAGCAAAATCTGATATATAAAATGAAAAGGGAAATTGGTTAACTCAAACCTCAGAAAAAGATCTTAAGGAGAGATTGTCACTTCTTTCAACAAATTCAGGAAAGTTAATTATTTTAACCTCTTTTCTAGTAAGTGTTAATGGAACTTCTAACACAACATACACACAGCACTTCTTGAAACAAAAAAGCCCACAACTAAGTTAGTGCATATGGAAAGCCTAAAGCACACCCAGCAGAGCTTTGAAATATAAAAAGCATAGTGAGTTCCTTCCCACGAGGAATATATATATATATAACTGGCATATGTATATACATATAAATTTAAAACTTATTCTAAAGTGTCACATTTCTCCCTGCACTAGCAGTCCCAAGCCAGTGAAACAGACAGGTAACTGACAGATGGCCCTACCCTGCATCTCTTGTCTCTGACTTCTCCCCACTCTTGGGACAGCACTCACTTCCAGGACCTACCACCTGGCCACCCCGGGCCCTAGGGGCTAGGAGAGAAAGGAGGAAAAGCTCCAGAAACTCACATTTCTGTGATGTTCTCAGAGTCTGCACTGTTAGGCTCCAACCTCGGAAATGCCACGATGCCAGGAGAAGGGTCGCTGCACCAGATCCGAGAGGCACTGCATTTGCAGGACGTGGGACAGGCGAGAGCGGCCCTCCAGAAGCCCACAACCAGCCAGCAGAAACCCCAGAGCCGCGCCATGGCGGGTCCATGCCACCTTATCCAGGACGACATCCCTAGCAGCCAGTGCCAGCTCAAGTGCGTGTCCCCCAGCTGCACCGGTGGATTTCCCCGATCCGTGCGGGGAGGCCTTCCCCGCTCTTGCCGCTCCCTCGACTCCTCGGTGCTTGTTGCGGGAGCGCGGAGTCCAGCGTATCCAAAGCTGAGCTGGTCCGGAGCGGAGCGTGTTCGGGCTGGTTCACTGTGGCCCGGGCATCGCGAACCGCTTTACAGCGGGGCGCTATCGCCACTCGGAGCTCCGCCGCGGCTGTCGCTGCATGGCCCGGTGCGCCGGGCACCGACCGGCGGCGCTCCCGGGACTCTCAGGGGCGCAGGCTTCTTGTTAGATGCGAATGGGGGTCCGGTATGCACCTCGAGGCTGAGGACAAACAGACACTCGTAAGACTGGGCGTAGGACCCCCAACACCACCAGTTGGGGCAATCTCCCTCTGCGCTCGCGTCATCCCCACCCCGAACCCAGCCGGGAGACTGTGGATGGATGAGTGCCCAGCTGCGGCCCAGGAATCAACTTGCCCCGAGATGGCACTGACGCCGCTGGAGCCACCAGTGTGCCCACTCTCTCTTCGAGCCTGAGGCCAAGGGAGGGGAGGTAGGGAAAGGGTCCCCGAGACAGGATTCCATGGTACAGGCCGGGCGAAGGACCCTTTATGAGGGATGCGGAGACTGCCGGCGGCTTTGGCTCTGCGACTGGGACCCCGAATGATGCTGCAGAATCCGCCACAGCCGCTGGGTGCCGGGGGCGCGGGCAGGTGGCGCGGCACGTCCCACCTGGGGAGCAGCAGAGGCCGCCCCAGGGGGAGACAGTGAGGGCCGAGGCGACCGAGGGCACTATCCGCGCTGCTCACCCAGGCTCCGGCGCCTCACGCCCGCCGGCGGCGCCTGGCTCCAGGCTCCTGCTGCCGCCGGGGACTGAGCGCGTAGAGCGCGAGCGAAGCAGCGAGCAAGGTTCCTGCTCCAACCCAATTCCGGGAGCCGCCGCCGCCGCCTCTGCTACTGCTGGCGAAGTGACGTGAGGGCTGACGCAGAGCAGGGGCAGAAACTCCAGAAAATTAGTCTGAAATCCAAAAACACACACACGCTCATACACACACAAACCCATAACACCCTCCAGACAAAAGCACCAGGGAGGGGAGGGGAATCTGGGGGCGAGAAGGGAGGAGGAAGGCATCGGTGCCACTGGCCAGAAGCAGACAGCAGCAGCATGTGGGAGTTCACACACGCGCGCATACACGCACACATCCTGGCCGTGTAGACACGCGCGTGCGTGCCTGTGTGTGTGTGTGTGTGTGTGTGTGTGTGCATTTACATCCAGGTACCTCTAAGATGAACCGTTCCTCCGCTCGACGCCTCCCGGTTCCTAATTCACACCAGTCTCTTCTACAATCACGGTAGAGGCTGTCTCCCTTTTTGAAATGGAAACCGGGCTTGGTTCAGCTCTGAAAAATGCGCTGATTCTCATTATAGGAATCCTCCCTCCCCTCTCCCTCCCCGCGTTCTCCTTCCCCACCCTGCCTAAAAGGGAGGGCAAGCTATCCTAAAAATAAATAAATGTTGTAAACACCAAAACGTGTTCTGCATTGGTAACCAAGGATCACCGCCCCCATTCCGGGCCACCTATTTGGGTATCGGTGGTTTTTAGAGGGGCTTCCGGTTGGTGCTTTTGCCGAGGGAAGGGAGTCTCGAAACACAATTCTAGCTCTCTAAGTGGGTCTTTTTCCTGCCGTTTTCTGCGGTCACACGCCAGGGAAATAGAGACATGTGAGGGGAAGGGAGCGCGCCTGATGCGTATTCTAAACGCTCGGTGGCCACCCTGACCTGTCCGATGTGTGTCGCCGCGTCATTTTCTCTCATCCTTTAACCTGAGAGGATGCAGCCATTCCCAGATCCTAGCTTCACTCCCCGAGGTGCCCACCCCCACGCAGGGCATCCCAAGCCCTTGCTCCCCTGCCGTACCTTGCGCGTGTTCATGTGTGTGCGGGTGTGCGCGAACGCGTGCCCTGCGCCCCCGCTGCCCGGAGCATGATATGCATCCAGCTACGAAGAAGCCAGGTGCGGGCAGAGCCTCGGGGTCTCACTAGGGACAAATTAGGCGGTCCGGGAGGGTCGGGTGACAAACCGTAACTGTTCTGAGGGCGCAGTTAAATGATGGCTGCGGGGCATTCACAAGCCTTGTCTGAGAATCCGTCTTCCCTTTTGCGGCTCGGAGTCTGCTTTTCCGCAGTCATTTAAAAGAGAATTGGGAAAATGCACCGCAGTGCCTGACACTTTTGAGGGCTCTGGTGCCCCCGCGCGGGGAGAGAGCGCCCGGCACGCTCCGGAGCACCAGCCCACGGACACGGTCGCGGCGGGCACAGCGCTGGGGGCGCGCTCTGGCGCCAGATGCGCAACCAGCGGCGCCCGACGCCTGCGCGTCGCTGCGCGGCCGGTGCGCGGCTAGCCTGGCCTCGCCGAGTTCCTGTCAGGGGGAAAAGGCGGGCAATCCTCCGCTAGAGAGAACGCAATGGGTTGGAGTCTCGTTCAAAATATGGTAATAGTCACTGATCTACCTGCAGAGACTGGGATGGGAAGGACCCAGAAACAGAACGTTAGAGTGAATCCTCGGATCTAGGCCAAGCCTTAAATATTACGAAGGGAACCTAAAACATCTAGTGGGGCTTTTGTTGTACTGATCCTGGTCGCTGAGTGTAACAGCGGGAATTCTTGGGCAGCACCCAAAAGCTTGCTGCAGATCGGTCCGGAAGACAAGGCCAGCAGGTATGTCTCACCACTATCACTCAGCTGTAACACACGTTGAATGCTGAACGGCCAGGCTGAAGTTTATTCCTCAGCAGGGCCTCTATTCTCTGCTACGTGAGGATGTGCCAAGGAAGGGAAGCCAAGGGCAAAAACGACCTGGTCTCAGTCCCACGTAAAACTCCACCTGTCTTGTCAGTGCCCTTTAAGTGGAGAAGTCCCTGAGGAACACGGGGAAAGGAGTATGTGATAATCATCCACATCACTCTCACATTCCCGCCGTACTCTCATCCCATTTTTCTTTTTTTGAGACGGAGTTTCGCTCTTGTTACCCAGGCTGGAGTGCAATGGCGTGATCTCGGCTCATCGCAACCTCCGCTTCCTGGGTTCAGGCAATTCTCCTCCCTCAGCCTCCTGAGTAGCTGGGATTACAGGCACGCACCACCGTGCCCAGCTAATTTTTTGTATTTTTAGTAGAGACGGGGTTTCACCATGTTGACCAGGATGGTCTCGATCTCTTGACCTCGTGATCCACCCGCCTCGGCCTCCCAAAGTGCTGGGATTACAGGCGTGAGCCATCGCGCCCGGCTCTCATCCCATTTTCCTAAGAAATGGCCCTTTTGAGCCCTAGTGGTTTCATGCGGTATGACGAATAGGCAGTCTTAGTGGTTTGTACACCAGGAGATTCTAATTATTTTGGAATTTTTGTGCAATTCCCATTAAAGTAAATATTTGCTACTATTATAGTTGGATTCTAAATACATTCCACTGATCATCTCCCACTTAAAATTAGGATTTTTGGTTCTACTTCTAATCACCCTACTTCTGCTCTATTTTAAACATAGCAGTTTGTCCTTTAAACAGATAATTTACTTATTATATATATTTTTTACATTGCTCCCAGTAGAATGTACACTCCATGAAGGCAGAGATTTTTATCTATTTTGTTCATTGATATCTCTCAAGGACATAGTAGGTGTTAAAATATATATGTGTATGTTTAATGAATAAATAAAGTTGAGATCTCACTTAACCTGTAATTCTGCAAGAACCTGAATAATTCTCCCGGACACGCTCCTTCTCACTTTCACAATTTCAATTCTTTCTTGTGCTCCAAGTGCTCACAGCACTGCTTAAAACCTTGCCTTACTTTCTGTCTCATTTAGTAGCCAGATATGCTTCAGCACTGGGCCAGAGAGGGCCTCCCACTCATTCATGCTGGTAACTGAACACCTCCATGCACAGTGTCTGGAACACATTGGCAATCAGTAGCTATCTCTTAACTGATGGAATTGGGGGTCTACCTCAATTTTAAGACCTACAGGCTATGTCCCAGAGATCACTTCAAGGATTCTCAACTTACGACTTTGTAAGAGATGATGAACATTTTTCAGATGGACAATATAGAGATGATTTTTTTCAAGATCCCTTCAATACAGGGATAGAAACTAAGTGTTACAGTATCCTACCTGTACTGAACCATGATGTACCTACAGCAATGTTTCTCGAACTCTTTTGACCGTGATCCACAAGAAGAAATGCCTTTTATATCACAACCCATTGAACACATACACAAAGGCATGTGCAAAAAAAAAAAAAAAAACTTCACAACACAAAACTTATTTACCCTTAGTACATGGAATACACTAATATGTTCTTTTGTCTTCTACACCATTTTACTTTTAAATGTGCATAATAACTCAAAATAGTGATTTTAACATCCAATGCTGAGTTGTAAAACAATAAGCAACTTCTGATTAAAATGGAGTAATGGGGAAACAGATCTAGTCTCTCAGTCAGACAACCACCACACTGAACAAAATATATTAAACAACAGTTAAGACAGTGGACATAAGACAATGAAAGTCAGGGAGCAGGAACCCAGGTAGAGTACAGCTACCTAAGTTTAGGAGACATAGCTCAAGAGAAATCATGGAGTGCAGAGTTCACAAGACAGAGTCGCAAGAAGAGTATTGTACAGAAAGAATAATGAACATCTGCAGAGGTTCCTCTCAAGTATTCAGCATAGAGCTGATTGACACATGCAGATGATGAAGCTACCTGAGGCCAGAGAAAGAAGCACTGATAGATTAAAGGAAATGGAGTTAAAAAAAGATCAAAAGGAAAATGTAAAACATTATGTATCAGAGTTTGTGTGATACCACTAAAGCAGTTTTTAGAGGGAATTTAATAGCATTAAATTCCTGTGTCAGGAAAGAAGAAAGATTTTCAACCAGTGACCTCAGCTTCCACCATAAGAAATAAGAGAGGAAAAAAGAACAGATTAAACACAAGGTAAGAAGAGAAGAAATAATACAGAGCAGAGTGGCAAATAATGAAATAGAAAACATAAAACCAATAGAGAAAATTAGTGAAATCAAGAGCTGGCTCTTTGTGAAGATCAATAAAAACAGCTAGTCCAACTGATCAGGAATAAAAGAGGGAAAACACAAGTACCAATAACAGTAATGAGAGCAATTAAAACGCTGCATATTTAAAGAAATACTATGGATATATTGTGAACAACTTTATGCAAATAAATTTGACAACTGAACATAATGAACGTATTCTATGAGAGATACAAAGCCAACAAAACTCACCATAGAAGAAATAGATGGCCTAATAAACTTGTATCTGTTGTAGAAATTGAACATGTGGTTAAAAAACTTTCCACAAAGGAAACTTCATGCCCAGATGGCTTCACTGGTGAATTCTACAAAATAATTAAGAAAAAATAATACCAATTTTATACATACTCTTCTAGAAAAATGAAGAGGAAGAAATGCTTTCCAACTCATTTTATGAGGCAAGCATTGCCTTGATACTAATATACAAAAACATTACAAGAAAAGAAAACACAGTTCCTGTGAATGTCAGTGCTAACATTCTAAGCAAAAGTTCAGTAAATTGATTTCAACAATACATCACACTTACATAAACATCATGAGTAAGTGGAGTTTGTCTCATAAATGTAAGATGATCTGATGGAGGCAGAGAGTAGAACGAGGGTTACCAGAATCTAGAAAGTGTAGCCGGGGTAGGGGAATGTTTTTCCAAAAAGCACTTATAAGACAAGGAAATCTACCTTCACCATTTCTACTCAACATTGCGTTGGAGATTTTAGTTAGTACAATAAATCAAATAAAAAGAGAAATAAAAGGTAATCAGATTGGAAAAGAAGAATTAGACTTTGGACTCTTTTTTAAAACATACAACTTTGACTTCTGTATAGAAGATTCAATAGAATCTATGAAAAAAGCTACTGATAATAATAAATGAATTATCAAGGTTGCATGATACAAGGTAATTATTTACAACTCAGACATATTTCTATACACTAGCAACAATCAGGAATCATGAAATTTTTTTAAACTACCAATTATAATAGCCAATCAAAAATATAAAATACTTAGAAATAAAGCACAGTCCATAAATGGAAAAAGATAGATACACTGGATTTTATAAAAATTAACAATTTCTGCTTTTCAAAAGATACCACTAATAGAATGAAAAAAATGAGGATAGAGGAAATATTTGCAAATCATATATTTGATAAAAACATATAAGAGTATATAAAGAACTCTCAAAACTCAATAATAATAAAAAACCATTTTAAAAGTGTGTAAATGTATTGAACATATGCTTTACCAAAGAAAACATGTAGTTGGCATGTAAGCACATGAAAAGATGCTCAACATCATTAGTCATT